TTTGCATGATATACATATCTTTGTATTGAGTTTTTTTTTAAATTGAATGCTTTCTTCATTTGTTTGAGAGATTCCCACATTTTTTTCATCAAGACGGAGAAGTAAAAAGCCAAAACCTTCCTTCCGAAGAAATAATCTCTCCTGAAAATAAACCCTTTCAATTTAGATATTTTCTGTCATCGAAAAAATTCATGGTGTTCACCCTTCGAATTCATATGGAATAATTATGTAATTCATACACAATTTGACTTCTATATTCTTCTATATTATATATTTTTGAAACAGAAATTTGAAAACTGAAACTATGTCACCTCAAGATGAACTTTTCTGATACATTCGAGAATTCTTCGGTTATTTCAAGTAGGTACTTATTCAGACCAAGCAAGATAAAAGCACTCGACACTCTATAATGATAAAAGTCTGTTTAGTAAAGAAACACTTGAAGCTGTTTTTCAGCATCGTGGAATGTTTCGAAAGTGTGTGGCGATACAGTCTCGTAAGAAAGACATAAACGTTGCCCGGTGAATTATTGCATAAACATTGCTGGGAAAGTATGACTGAGTTCAGATATAAAAAGCGGAACAGTTGAAAAATTATTCATATGTACATTACCATCTTTTTTCGACGAAAACACGTTGTTTAGTTATAGGTGTGAAAAATCTGACGTTTTCATGAAAAAAAAAACATATTCAGAAACTATATAACTTCAAGGTCTTGTCTATACTTTGGAACTATGTCAAATTAATATTAAATCGTATTCAAGTAACACTTAATTGTGATATTTTTACTGGAAACTTCACAACACAACAAGTGTTTCGGTATACAATAAATTCCACAGGCGTGTTCATACTTACCAAATTCAACCTATTTAGTATTTTACACAAATTAATAATTTAAATTATATGACCTACCTACTTAATGACCGAGAATTTCGCCTGTATGGACATGTAATACAATAAAATTACATATAAACCATTTCCACCTCAGAAAACATATTTAATAAGAGGGAATTCTATTTGGTCATTCAGCAAATTTTTAGAATTCTTAGATTCGCAAGCATTTCATAAGATTGGGTGAAGGATTGTATTATTGGAATAGAATAATTTTTGGGAAAAAAGTTTTTGGCTTTCTACTACTACTTCTTGATACAAAAAAAGTGGAAATATTTCAAAGAAAAGAAGAGAGCAATTAATTTCAAAATGAGCTCTCTACAAAAATGTGGTGATCATGCAAAGAAGTAAGAAGAAGAAGTTCTCTTGAAACAACTAGCTTCATATAAACATTGAATTACACGGAATTCAATTCTAAAATATGTATAGATATATGTTTTGTATGATGTGGATGTTCCTAGAGTGGTATCTTTTCACAAACAGTTTGTTAACTCTTTGTTTGTTTGAACCCTCAAAATCATTTAACTGGGACTTGTTTGGGTTATCAACTGTTATCAGTTTGGGCCACACTGAATAAGGTATTTACAGAATTGATAAAATCCCACTTAGGGAAAAATTTATTGATTCGTGTCTGAGATATTGCACTTCAGCTGTTGTACACTGTTCTATTTTAGGACCTACTTTCTTGTTTTTTACCAGGTGTTTTTCGACTAAGTAATTATCTCAGGCTTGATATAGAAAAAAGTATAATGGCTAGAGATATCTTCCTTTAGAGGTTGAATGCTAGTTTGGCACGCCCATTTTTTCAAAATAGTTGGTTTTGAAAGCTACGCGAAGAAGTTAACAAGATAGGAAAAGAGGGAAAAACAAAATTCATATCCAGAAATTGACAGTAAAAATCAAATATGAAAGGTAATCAGTGGGGAGAAAAATCACTGTCTATTTCAATAACTCTAATATATTTTCACAAACTAGTCTGCAAAATTCACTAAGCGAATGCTTCTTCAGGCGTATATTAGTCGATATATTATTCAGTAAAAATCTCCCAAAAATGTTTCTCATTAAATATTTTCATCATGGATTTTCATCAAATATCGGGTTATTTCATCCCATTCAAATCATTGTAACCTGTAAGTGGAAATTATTCAATAATATGGATAAAAATAATGTGCAGAAATAAATATCAATAATGAATGAAAAAATATTTACAAAATGGAGAATAGAAATGTGATAATGAAAAATTATATTAAACCGTCTGTTTTTCCCCTATGTTCTACACTTCTCCACCCTGACCTGGCTGAATCCGTCATTGTACAATATGTCGGCAACTTCTTTGAACTTTATTTTGAACCAGTGTTTCATTCTATGATCAATCTTGGCTTCTATTCATTCCGAATTGCCGGCTTCTTCTCGTTAATTATTTTACAAATATTGTATCTCATAAAGGCAGTTCACGAAGTCGTCATTGTTCTTGTTTGGTTAGTTCAATTTTGTAGAGTATTCTGATATATTAGTTTAATACAATTTCCTCTATACATTATTTGACTTGAGGATTACAGAGGTTGTGTGTGTAAGAAAGTAAAAATCTAAAGTGAAAGGGACGGAAACAAATGCATCAATATAAAAACAATAAACAATCAAAATATATAAACGAAAGAGCAGAAGAAGCACTTGTGAGAAGACATAAAACGGCAAACTCAAATATAAAAGAAACGAAGTGTATAACGGGAAAAAATCAAGTATTTACATGCAGACAGAACACAATGTGGACATTTTATGTGAAGTTTCTAGGCTCCAAGAAACAAATATTTTTCCCCAATCAAGTTTATCTACGAAAGCTTGATTGAGAAAAAAGAGTTTGAATGAAAGTTAAAGTTAGGTAGACGAAAAATTATATGAAAAATAATAAATGAGTTATCTGAGAATAGTCAATGTGAACCGTTTAAAAGTTTTTCTCTTTGTATTCCGTTAATACTTTTGGTGTAGATATATTTCATTGACGGTGAAGTTTATTTTATATTACTGAAATTTAAAATTATGGAAATATAATACATATTTTTTTTTATTTAATCACAAGGAATGTTATTGAGTTTTTGTTTCTAGTCTTAGAATTTAAATTTCCCTCCATTGAAGAAGACCCCTATGGCTGCAACATACAACAGCTGCCGTTTGATTCGAATTCAGAGTCGAAACGCCTTCATCAGCATGGCCTCTCGATATCCGACGCCATTGAACGTAAACAAACGACTCTGTCATGGTGCGTGGTGTGTTGAATGAAATAAACAAAAGTTTCGGTGAGTAAACAAATGGATACTCTTTTAGCCTAGAGTTACATTAACCAGAACACACGTGAGTTTTTCCTTAAACAAAACAAAGTTGGATTTTTGTATATTTTAAGTTAGGAATGTTGACGTGGTTATGTTGACCAGAATTCCGGAAAGTTACTGAACTACTATTGCGTCCACGCCGCTTCAATTCACAGAAATAGAAATTGAAGAAAGTATTTTTACCGAGTAGAAAAATAAAATCTGAGAAATTTCACAAGGTGAATATTTTTGTAAACTGAAAAAGTTTAAGTAACATTTGCTGAACCCATTCGAACATTCATATCATTTATTACGTAAAACTTATGAGGAATTTCTCACAATTTCACAAAAGAAATGTACTTTTTTTCAGTATATCTTCAAGAAAATATTTACTTCATCTGTTTGTTACTGATTTCATTTGGAAAAACTCCAGAATGCTCAACAAATTACTGATAACTTGAAGATAATATAAGGTTTATATGTAAAAGAATATATTTAAGATATTTTTGTTAAAAAAAAGAAGATCAAAACTATTTTGATATTGAATGGTAACTTACGAACTTTTAACGTTTGTCAGATGAAATGCACTTTTAATCGAATTATGTACCGCAATTTGATTTTTCAAATGACCGCAGCGTCCATTTTTTTCACTTCATGTAACCTTCAAAGTTGTTTTAAAGGCAATTTAAACTATTATATTACTATTATATAGATGATACTTTACATATAATCAAACATACACTAAATTCTTTATATTTATCAATAGTTGCAGGTAATGTAGAGGAACAGAGTGGATATGTTTAAATATAGGTAAGCATTAAAATTCAATGTTTTGTGGCAATCGGTTTTATTTTGTAGAAGAATTCAGATGATTTCAAGAGATGAAAAGTATAAACTCCATAATCGTCTTAATAACTACTTATTAAGACACGCCCGAGAAAGCCATTGTATGGTGAAAAACGTGTTGCGTTTTTGTAAAACTATCTAGTGAAAATCTCACAATAAAGTGTTTTTAGAATACGTTAGTTATGGATTTTCATCAAGTATCGGCCGATTCCATCATATATAGATAAAACTCCAGATTGGAAACATTTTTTTCAAAGTTTACTCATTTTACAGTTCGGAACTGACAATTACAAATTTCATAATCTCAAGTCGTGGAAGATGAATATACTAAAAGAAGGGAAATGAACTAATAGATTTATTACGTTAATTGAATGATATATTTTTCAATTTCTGTTTCATAATATTGAAATTATTCAGATCTACATCAAAAGCCTTCTGCTAATAGTTGATTCAAATCATTCAAGTTTTTGTTGGTCAGTTATTTTGCCATATATGAATTTTGATAATAAGGATACGTAACTTTCGAAAGAATTATATAGATGTAATATCAATTGAAAATCTATAAGATGAATGTGTATGTATAGATTATCGGAATCGTTGATCATTTTTGTTAAAGAAAAAAGTTTTGAGGGTTTGTTCAAGAGAAAGTTAACTGAAATTCACTAACATTATTTTTTTAATTGTTCAAATTGTTGTTAAAAATTGCACAAAACCCAGAGTCTATTTAAAATCAAATTTCCTGATAAAAAAGAACAGAGTAAAAATTAATATGAATTGACTAATAACGTGGCGAAAAAATTGGCAATAATCATAATAATAAGATTTTTTAGGTGAATGAAGAAAGTTGTAGTTAAACAAGATTATAGGACGAATCAGGAGATAGAAGAGGAAATAAATATATACCTGGAGCACAAGAAATCAAGGAATCGTTTTTCCAATTCAGGTCAACTCCAGGTCCGATACAAACACTTAGAATCATTCAAGCTTGAGTAAGTTATAATAATTATGTAAACATTCACTTAAATAAGTGATAAAAATTATGTAAAATTTACTATATCGTGAATATATTATAAGGAAATTTTTGTTTTTGCAAAGTAAAATGGGCAAAAGAAAAATCCGTTGTAATTGTTATTGCAGTCACTTCGGTAGTGCTTCTTAGTGGCTTCCCAAATTTTAAAACTGCTTTTTCAGCTGTTTTTTGAGTGTTCGAGTAATCAACTTGTACTTCCAGATATTTGTTTCCAATTAACAATTCCTAAAATAATGTTTCTTTTGTGACATCGATTGGCAATGTCTGAAAAAAATACTCTTTTAGGTATTAATTCAGTTCCAAACTATAGAAGTTCAAACTCAACACACAATTTGATTATTTGAAATTTTCAAACTTAGGACAATTGAATAATACTCATGAAAATGACAGAAATAAGCATTAACAACTTCATCCAGTTACAGCTACCGGAATGAGTCACGCATGGCTGGTGGGAGAAATTGTATCTGCGTAAAGCTTGGGTCGGTGTATGGCAAATAAAGTATTAAAAAAAAAGTAATAGAAACTTTTGTTTGCAATTTTACGGTTACGGCTCGAATAATCTAACAGACTGATAACAGATTTCTACACATCTACTGCACATCTTGAGGGAGGCGCTTCTCACCGGCCTTAACTCAGTCCGGCAGCTGTAGATTTCATAATGTAAGCATATTAATTTACTTTCTTTCACTTTCTAGTTCGAAATTGAATACAAACTCGAAGAATTATTTAATTTTTTTCTGGTATTGCTTATCGTTGTTATGTCAAAAATGTTAAAGGGTTGGATACAATTTCAATATCAAATGACATCAAGTATCGGCCAGTTCTATTCAATTATTGAATGTCATACGGATTGGTTTTTTGGGGGATTTAAACTAATTGGGAAAGAATATTCATTTTACAAAAAACGGCTATTAGAACTATTAGAATCCTGGGAAGGGCAAAACGAACCGACCGCTGTAGACCTCTATTTAAAAAATTCAATATAATAACCATTACGGCCCTATTACATATTTCAATGCCTTATCTATATCAAGACACAAAATAACACCTCTCAGGTTAATCGCAACCATGAATATTTGACCAGAAATGGCCACAATCTTCTTATGCCACAACATCGACTGACAATTCCTCATAAAAGCTTTTTTACTATGGCGATAAGGCTCTTCAACCATCTACCCACCATATATGAGAAAATTAAATATGATTAGGTTCAAGAAATGTATAATCTGCCCTTATGACGTGAGTTAATTTTTTAACTTCAAGTTTTAATGCTTTGCCTTTCAATGTGTATGTGTAAAAAATGGAAATGGCGAGGTTATAGAGTACTTCAGGAAGATAAAGAGTCTCTCCAAACCTTCTCTGAATTTTCCGTAAATTTTATTCAAAAATCAGTGACATTCCCCGACTATTTCCTAACTGAGTTCCCTTGCAGTACCATCCAGAAAGAAGTTTTCCAGAGTTGATTTTCTCAAAATAATCAGTAACTACCAAATCACAATGAACAATTATGAAAACAATCGCCTAATGGAGATGCTTCCCCTCAAGGAAGAGTATTTTATGTAGAAGCCGTAATTTGTTGAGAATATAAACACCTCGACTACTTTTACTGCTAAATCGATCATAAAGCCGTAACTTTAATGTTTTATGGACAAAACAGGTGTGTAAACTACAAGTGGTTTCGAATTGGTGTATGGCCATTTTTTCTTTACGAGAATTAGAATTACGACCCAAATATCCCGTGTAAATCGTAGGTGGCAGAAGACATTCGGACTTGTCAAATCGTTACGCAGTGACGAATTACGTGTCTCGTTTGGGTTTATGGTTGTTTTATTGCGGGCCTTTATTATTTTCATTGGTTTGGAACTGTTGGCCGCTGATTGAAAAAATCACAACATTATTCCGTGTAGTGACAATGACCTGTTAACGGTATTGTGAGTCGATAAACCCTTGACTGGGGGCGGTTAGTGTCATTTACTATTCTAGGGCCACAATACAGTGGGTGGTGACTTTGTAAACTCCGTGATCCATCTTATTATTACGATTTTGAAGTGTCTCGCATTTGCTCAAATTCTTTAAATACGATATACTTAAACAGGACCACCCATTAATTGAATATTAAGTTTACAGTTCTGAAGTAAGTATTGTGATTTTTTCTCCTGAGAGAGTGTTCCTTCAAACTTGAGATTCAAGAGATTGAAATTTTTGAGTATGTGCAGTGTTAACATGCAACAGCACTCGACTGATCCCTTGACTGAAATTATGTTTTACATGCTGATATGATGAATATTTTAGTTCGTTATGACGAAACCTACTTGTACAGATATTGAGATATTGAATAATGAAGTTGAGAGTGTCATATATACAGGGTGAGTCAACACGATTCCCTAGGTATCAAAGGAAACAATTTTTCGAACTTCTCAATTTTTTTGCAGTCATAAAAATACTATATTTCAAATTATTTTGTCGCATACCGGGTGATTCAGCCAAGCGTGGCCAACCAAAGTTATATAAATAGAACATTATAGTATATAAAAACGTCATTCGATTCCATATTTTTTTAGTTCTCTAAGAAATTTTTGTTTTCGAATTTCCATTGCAATATTGCCAAGGTATTCTAGAAAAACCCATTTTACAGATACTATTTTTTTAATTTACTACCCGCATGTCTATAGCAATCAAGTGAATCGGCATAACATGCATTATTATGCAACGGAAAACCCCCATTTTGTTCGTTGACTGAGCCATCAACAGCGTTGGTCACTGAATGTTTAGGGTGGAATTCTCAGAAAAAGAGTAATTGGTCCGCATTTTTTGAAAGGGCATCTCACTGGATGAAAATATGTAAGATTTTTTCGCTATGAGTTTTCGAATTCATTGGACGGGGTTCCATATGGAACAAGACTTAGAATGTGGCTACAACAAGACGGTGCATCACATTTTAAAACTGAGGTTTGGGAATACCTCCACGATCATTTCAATTAAAAATGGAAAGGTAGAGTTGGGAATGACGTATTCACATACTGGGTGTTCCATTTAATATAATATAACTTTGGTTGGCCACGCTCGGCTGAATCACCCAGTATGCAATGAAATAATTTTAAAAGATAGTATTCATTGATATGACTGCGAAAAAAAATTCGAAAAATTGTTTTCCCTGATAGCAATGGACCGAGGGCATCTTGTTGACTAACCCTAGAGGAGTAACTGCCGTAAAAGCGATCTTTCACCTTGAATATTTATGAAACTATAATATTCTGAACTTCAATAATGGATATTTCAATAATATAATATTTGCTATAGAAATTTCAAATAGAAAAAGCATCGTAACTTCAAAATTTATAGAATTCTCTGAAATTACAAATGTCTCGTAAAATAATAACCTGTCAAGATACCTATCTCAGGGGTTTTAATTTTATATGGAGACTTCCTCTACCATTTTACTCCCCTGGGTTTTGGATCTCCACCCTGCCGTATGAGGCTTTCTAAGAGTAAGGCAAAACTAGTGTTCCACCCTGTGTTTGAACCACTCGATATTTTGTTGATGAAGCCCGTTTTTCTGTCGACTCACTGTATTCTCAAGGTTTTCGGTAGATACTGTTCGTGACAGAATATTTTCTATTTGCTGACATTGCACTTGAGTGGAAGACCATCTTTGTGCACTCCAGGTGCTCAAGATGAACTCCGCCTTTTCAGTTTGCATAGAAAATGTTGTAGCATATTTGATAGATCTCATCCTTTTTGTAATCATGTATTCTACCGAACTAAAGAATATTATCATTATTATTATTATTAAAACTGAGTGCTTCATCTTATAATGTCATTTACTATATTATGTAGCAATTCTGTGAATGATATCTGATTCAATTCCATAACGAATGTTTGGAATAGAAACTGAGTGGAGAAAAGTGTTTTTGTATAATTCAGTATTCATATAGAAAAAATTTTTAGAAAGTATGTTTCTTTCGTGTAATAAAATGTTTATATTATCCTTGTATTGAGCTAATTTTTTAAATTGATTTCTTTCTTCCTTTCTTTGGAATATTCCCGCATTTTTTATATAAAGATGAAGAAGTTACAAATCCAAAACATTTCTTACTCAAAAATATATTCTTATTTTTTGTAATACTATTTGCATTTCCTTTTCAACTCTTTAAAACATCATTTTTATACTCTATTATTTTCTCTACTCTTCTTTTTTAAATCTATCAATTCTTTTCGATAATGGAATTCCAAACCCTTAACAAGCACTTGCTCATTCTCAATCTCTTTCAAATTATACCATCGGAGAAAACTTTTGAACATTGATCGTCCCTTTTATCAAGCGACCTACGCAAGAATGATTAGATAAAAAGTGATAACATCACGAACGCTTTTAACGAAGACTTCTGTATTGGCCCATCAAAATGTATAAATTAAAGAGACTTGTCTATAGGTTATGCATCGGAATATAAATAGGCGCAATAAAGTTCTCACTTTATACCGAAAAACCATTTGGAAGAAATCAAGCCGGTATATACGAGGAGGAATGTACACCGAGTTTTATAGCTTTTGACTCATAATCGCCTTAGCGTGTGAATAACATTAACGAATATTCGATGAAGGGTCAACAACTTTTTGGAGAGTTCTATTCGACGAATTTGGTTATTGATGGTGGATTCGGTATTTTGTTCTCATTAACGAAAGTTATTTTATCAAAATTTGACTTAATTAGTTCTAATTATGTTCTACGCTCTATTTTCAAGAACTGTTGAATTCTAATTTATGGAAAGCAATAATATTAACTTCTGAAAGATTTGGTGGTCCGAATATTGATATTGTAAAGGAACTGGTTTGGGTTAGGATCACAGACGTCAACAAGTCCATCCTCAGATTTCTATAAAGACAAAACGATGAACAGGATGTACTCTTTTGAATTTCTTGAGGTAGATAATTTCCGTTTGACTATATGTTTCTATACTT